CTTGTCCTGGTCTCCTATCTTGCAGCCAAAATACAAGTTGTAGGCTTTCTTAATCATTCCTGTTATCCTCCAGATAAAAGTTATTTCACCGCAGATATAGCAGAAATTATCTGCTTTATTCACACAAGTTCGAGGCATTACTGAGTAGCCTATATAAGCATAAAACGAAATGTAAAGACGCTGTCGAACTACAATCAGCTACAGATACTGCAGCTTTTATGCAGTGAAGTGATGCAATTAAAGGCTAATATTGCATCATCTCAGTGTACATGCAATTTTCTATTGGTCACCAGTATCAATTGCGCAATATGCAGCTGAAGTTGCATCATAATTTTGAATGGCTTACGTCATTAGATGGGTGAATATATCATGGAAACTAGAGCCAATCAACATTTTTTAGGGTCATTTTCGTTTTCAGCACCCCAAAATTATGTAAGATTAGCTAATTTTATGCCCAAAACTTTTTACCTGTTGAACAGTGTTATTACTGCTTTTTATGATATTTGCTATGATTGTAAAGTGAGGACAGTATATTGGTCGTGTTTGCATCATGTCCAAAATAAAGAATTTAAATATGCATATATAAGTGGGCAGCACAACCAGGGCCGGTGCTAGACTATTTTGCACCCTAGACAAGACTAGCTGCTTGCGCCCACCCCCCTCCCAAAAAAAAAATTATTTAAAAACAGTCGCAAATATTGAATCAACAAAACATGAAACTGCTAAATTTCTCTTCATTTCAAAAATAAGTGCCATAAGATGCCACCAGCACCAATATTAAGGACAAAATCAGTTGCATGGATGGACTGTATCTGTGGCTGGCAGCAGCAGGGTGATAGATACAATAAGTGGAGGATGATGGATCCATACTCTGACAGATCCCAGGCTAGAATTCCACTGACAATGGGGGGAGAAAAACGTTGTGACAGCAGGCAGCTGAACTGAGCAATTCCAGTGACAGATCCAAAACAACACACCACTACTAACACTGGCACAGATCAGCAGGCACTAGAAGAGCAGGTTGTGGGATCGTGATGATGTCATCACTCACTGACCTATTGCACATGTGGTGGATGGCCGGCCGGGTCACACTCAAACAGACAAGAGACATCAGAGTCATACATTAACTTCCTTAGCAGGTGCAGCTTCGCCTCCACTGATGAATGGGAAGAGAAGGTCTGGAACTCCACAGTGATCAGAAGCAGCAGCCAGCCAGGTTGCAGTAAGGGACTGAATCTGAGAGAAACACTGGAAGGAGCGGAAGCTCAGCTCCTACCCTGGCCCCAGACACTCGGCATCTTTCTCTGTCCTTTCTTCCTCCCCTCTGCCATCCCTCCCCTCTGCTGGAGGATCATTCATGACATAGCGGCATCCCACACAGAGAGAGTGCCGGCCTGTGCTGCTCCTAGGTGGCTGCCTAGTTTGCCTAGTATAAGCACAGCGGCTAAGTGGTTAGCACTTCCATCTAGCAGCACTAGGGTCATTGGTTCAAATGCTAACCATGATACTACCTGCCTGAAGTTTGCATGTTCTCCCTGTGCCTGCGTGAGCTTCCTCCGGGTACTCCGATTTCCACCCACACTCCAAAGACATGCTGGTCAGTAAATTGGCCCTAGTATGTGTATGTGTAGGAAGGCAAAATGTTTTTATATCAGACATTTATGGATTTTTACCACCTGGTTAGCAAAGAGCCATGTGGCCTGTTGGAAGTTATCTTGGAATGTCAGTAAAACAAGATTATACAACAGTAGTATTGAGTACAACAGGGTGTGTGCAACAAAAGAGTGCATACCAGAATTCTGATCCTGGAAGGGAGTTTACCCTAGTGGTGGGGCATGGAGATTAGAAAGCCTCAGCTCAGATTTCCTGGTGATACAGAGAATAAATGATTGATTTCATGGCAAGAAGGAAGGGGCCAGATGTCCACTGGAATGCTGACCTGCGTCAAGGAGCCAGATGGCAATGTAGCAGTGCCCAATTGGAGGACAGTACCATACTTTCACCGTACTTTTGAGTAATTTGAAAAGACAGCTCCTTATCAGTTATGGATTGTCGCTCATTGAGCAGAGGACTATATACGAGGGGCAGAGGGCATCAAATGGGTGGTGTTTGTGAGTGCTGCAAGATGCAAGCCTCAGCCATGCTATTTCCTCTATCTTCCTGAACCCCATCCACGATACATAACATAGAGGACAGACTTACGTAACATATCTCTGCTCTTTTCTTCTATATATATACTCTGTATTATTCAGGTAGATTTCTATGTTAGTGTTTCACTTTCTTTGTAAATAACTAAGACCTCGGCTTCTTTGATCATTGTGATTGTTATTATAGCTAGTATTGTTATTATAATTATCTTCATTAAGATCATTAGAACTTTGATAGACTAGCTAATTATAGGAACAGACAAGATAGTAAATATTTACAGTAGTGGAAAAAACACCCCAAGTTAGGGATTCTAGATGAAGAGCTCCTTGAGGGCAAGGGACTGTTCTGAATGTACAATATATATGTAAACCGCTGCGTAAATTGATGGCACTATATAAATACCTGTAATAAATAAATTATTTTTTTAATTGCAGGGGCCTGATCTTCTTCTGTAGCAGTTTTACTTTCACTGCCAGCTCTCCAATTCCACCCTGTGACTGAACATAAAAAGAGAAGCAGCACACTCATGAGCTCATCTCTCTGTCACCCTGCTCTCTCCTGCTATCAGGGATGCTCCTTGCAATCCAGCACATCTAATTGGCTCCTTATGCCACTCCTCCCTTCCCCTGTCTGAGCGCTGGTGTACAGTAGACTTCAAGAGGCAAATTCAAGACAAATACAGGTACTTACACCTTGCATTTACAAAACATTTAATTAAGAACTGAGAGTGCCTTGAAAAAGTATTCATACCCCTTAAAGTTTTCTACATTTTGTCATATTACAACCAAAAATGTAAATGTACTTTATTGGGATTTTATGTGATAGACCAACACAAAGTGGCACATAATTGTGAAGTGGAAGGAAAATGATAAATGGTTTTCAAAAGTTTTTACAAATAAATATCTGCAAAGTGTGGCATTCATTTGTATTCAGCCCCTCTGAGTCAATACTTTGTAGAACCACCTTTCACTGCCATTACAGTTGCAAGTCTTTTTGGGGATGTCTCTACCAGCTTTGCACATCTAGAGAGTGACATTTTTGCCCATTCTTCTTTGCAGAATAGCTCAAGCTTTATCACATTGGATGGAGAGAGTCTGTGAACAGCAATTTTCAAGTTTTGCCACAGATTCTCAATTGGATTTAAGTCTGGACTTTGATTGGGCCATTCAAACACATGAATGTGCTTTGAGCTAAACCATTTCATTGTAGCTCTGGCTGTATGTTTAGGATCATTGTCCTGCTAAAAGGTGAACCTCCGCCCCAGTCTCAATTCTTTTGCAGACCTGTATTTGGCTTCATCCATCTTGCCATCAACTCTGACCAGCTTCCCTATCCCTGCTGAAGAAAAGCATCCCCCCAGCATGATGCTGCCACCACCATGTTTCACGGTGGGGATGGTGTGTTCAGGGTGATGTGCAGTGGTAGTTTTCTGCCACACATAGTTTACTTTTAGACAAAAAAGTTCCATTTTGGTCTCATCTAAACAGAGCACCTTCTTTCACATGTTTGCTGTGTCCCCCACATGGCTTCTCACAAACTGCAAATGGGACTTCCTATGGCTTTCTTTCAACACCGGCTTTCTTCTTGCTACTCTTTCATAAAGGCCAGATTTGTGGAGTGCATGACTAATAGTTGTCCTGTGGACAGATTCTCCCACCTGAGCTGTGAATAACTGCAGCTCCTCCAGAGTTACCATGGGCCTCTTGGCTGCTTTTCTGATTAGTGCTCTCCTTGCCCGGCCTGTCATTTTAGGTAGACGGCCATGTCTTGGGAGGTTTAAAGTTGTGCCATACTCTTTCCATTTTTGGATGATGAAGTGAACACTTCTCCATGAGATGTTCAAAGCTTGGGATATTTTTTAATAACCTAACCCTGCTTTAAAATTCTCCACAACTTTATCCCTGATCTGTCTGGTTTGTTCCTTGGCCTTCATGATGTTGTTTGTTCACGAATGTTCTCTAACAAACCTCTGAGGGCTTCACAGAACAGCTTTATTTATACTGAGATGATTAAATTACACACAGGTGGACTCTATTTAATAATTAGGTGACTTCTGAAGGCAATTGGTTCCACTAGATTTTAGTTAGGGGTATCAGAGTAAAGGGGGCTGAATACAAATGCATGCCACACTTTTCAGATATTTATTTGTAAAAAATGTTGTAAACCATTTATCATTTTCCTTCCACTTTTTGGTTGTAAGATGACAAAATGTGGGAAATTTCAAGGGGCATAAATACTTTTTCAAGGCACTGTATGATTGCAGAGCCTTGTGTTATGTATATCTGCCCAGAGTTCACCTTTAGGAGAAAATATATATATATATATGCAGTTTTAATGATTTGAAATCATTTGACTTGTAAATGTTTGTACTGAATGATCTATTACTATATTTAAGCTGCTGAAACTTGATGGGCTTCACTGAAGTTACTGACCTAGGACTTGTATGTATAACAGAAAAAAATATCTTCTGATTTAGTTAGATAGGCTATAATAAGAGATAAAACATAATGAAAATCCTAAGTTTCAGTTTTAATTATCCCACAATTATCACCACTTTCTTTCTGTGCTTGGCCTCTAATTAAGTGACGGTCTGTCACTTTTCTATTTTGGACATTTTTTTTACTCTGAGAAAGTATAAAATTGATCTTAATTATGTCATCAAATGAAAGCTTACAGCTGTGGATTGATTCAAATGAGGATAATGTATGTCTTCAAATTAAGGTAAGGTCTGGACCTGTGTCTCCTTCACCATCAACCTCTTCCTGATCTCAGACTTTAAAGCTGAAATGTATTCATAACATTTGATAAAAATGAATGTTCTTTAGCAAGGAACATACATTCCACATTAATAATTCCTCGCCACCACCCAACGATCGCCAAGTATAACTGACAGGGGAGAGACCTGTGTGTAAACAGATCACAGGTCTCTCTCTCCTGCCAGCAGTAACATGCTGCTGTGTGTTTCTCTGCACAGCAGAGAAATACACAGCAGCATGTCTCCCTAGTAAAACACACACAGTACACTTAGTAAAACAGCACACAGTTAACCCTTTGATTGCCCCAGAAGTTAACCCCTTCCTGCCCAGTGTCATTAGTACAGTGTCAGTGCTTTTTATTAGCACTGATCACTGTATTAGTGTCATTGGGGATGCCAGTGAGAGTTAGTCAGCCCCCCCCCCCCAGTGTCAGAATGCCTGCCGCAGTCCTGCTATAAGTCGCTGATCGCCGCCATTACTAGTATAAAAAAAATTCCAGTATATATACTTTTGTATACGCTATAACTTTTATGTAAACCAATTAATTTACATGTACTGGGATTTTTTTTAGCAAAGACATGTAGCAGAATACATTTTGGCCTAAATTTAGGAAGAAATTTGATTTTTAAAAATGTTTTTACTGAATATGTTTTATAGCAAAAAGTCAAAAATACAGGGGTTTTTTTTTTTCAAAATTGTCGGTCGTTTTTTTTTGGGCAAAAAATAAAAACCACACAAGTGATCAAATACCACCGAAAGAAAACTCTGTGGGAAAAAAGGACATAAATTTAATTTTGTGGTTGTTGCATGACTGTGCAATTGTCAGTTAAAGTAATGCAGCGCCGTATTGCAAAAAATGGCCTGGTCAGGAAGGGGGATAAATCCTCCAGAGGGCAAGTGGTTAGTCTTTAGCCTGTAAGCAGATCGGCCTCTAAATATTCAGCACAGTGCCTAAAAATGGAGAGCAACTGAGCATGTGCAGAGCAGGGTGAGACAGTGTATTAGTGGATTGTAACCACTTGCCGTCCAGCCGCTGTATATAAATGGCAGGACGGTGGCAGTCCAGGGGCGGGTTGCTGTTCATAAACGGCACCCGCCATTATGGACTGTGCGTGCTCCCTGGGAGTGCGCAGCACCGTGATCCGGGTGCCGTTTATGAACACCAATCATTGTACAGGACCTCTGTGCGAGGTCCCGATCATGTGATCACTGATTGGCCTATCAGTGATCACATGCAGAGTAGTAAGCAAGATGTCACTTCTGACATCATTGCTTACTACGTGTGAAATCTGTGAATGATCACAGAGGTCACATGGTACAAGGCTATTCACACTAGCCTTGTACCATGTGACAAGCTGTGACCAATCACAGCTCACACAGTAGTTCTCAATGGCTGCAAGAATGCAGCCAGAGAGAAGGAGAAATGATTGCTTTTACAGCCTTTATGGGTGTAAAAGCAATCAGTGTAAAAAAAAATTAAAAAATCTTCATCACCCCCCACAAGTAGTACAGTGTCACCATGGTGACACTGTACTGCTAGGGTAACAGTATGGAGAAAAAAAAAACATAAATAATAATATAAAAAAAAATAAAATAAAAATGTAAACTTTTTTTTTTAAATCATAATTTTTGGTTATAAACTAATTTGTTTTTTTTTTTTTTTACTAAAACGATAACTGAATACATTTTGGCCAAGATTTGAAGAAAGATTATTTATTTGCTAAATTTTAAAAGAAAAACGTTTTTTTTTTCAAAATTTTTGGGCTTTTTAATTTATATAGCAAAAAAAAAAATCCCAGTGGTGAATAAATACCACCAAAATAAAGCTTTATCTGTCTCAAAAAAAATGCAAAAAAATTTATATGGGTACAGTGTTGCATGACTGCGCAATTATCATTCAAAGTGTGATAGCACTGAAAGCTGAAAATTGGCCTGGACAGGAAGGGGGTAAACGTGTCCAGACTAGAAGTGGTTAAAAAGTATAGTCACCTATTTTTAACATTTTACATAGCTATACCTGCACAAGGGGCAATCCTGAAGTGGTCTAGCAAGGCTTAATTTTCTATCTAAAGGTCCACTTAAAGTCTCCTAGATGACTGCTGGGAAGAACGGCAAGACCACTGGGAAAAGCAAGGATCAGTTGTAACTAACTTCCCCCTACACACGCACTCACCTACACACCTTTGCAATGCTTCACCTATTGTCTAATTAAATACCTGTTAAATACCTAAATTCTAATTAAATACCTGTGTAAGCTGCAAGCCACCAATGTTTGAGCTTACAATGAGCGATGGACTCCCAATGAAATGGCGAGGAAGTAAAAGAAAATATATAAATGCTGTAAGGGATGGGTGGGTTGAAGAAAATGTGTTGCTTTGCCATAAATTTACGTTAACACCTTGCCGCCTCCACCCCTGGCCCTTTAAGAGAATCTAAATGCCATGAGGTAGAGGCAGGCTTTCCAATCGTGTTATGGCTGTGATTGGCTGTCAAAGCCCATGGATGCATATGTGCGGTGGCTTGGCTTTAAGCCCACCCACTACATATGTGCATACAGCCAGCAGAAACAGATTAATGACAGCTCCTACTGGAGTGTGAGGACATTGCATTTGTAAATAATCAGTTCTCCAGGCACGTGCCTGTAGCTCAGAGGTCCTCAAACTACATGCGGCCTGCCGAGGACATTTATCCGGTCTGGGGCGTATCTGCCACGAGGCAAGGGACTAGGGTTTGGCAGGTCGGGAGAGCTCGGCAGGGCTCGGGCAGAAGGCTGGAGGGCGGGATCAGCAATTCTAGGACAGGGGAAGGTGGGCTTGGCTTATGCACCCGCACCACTCACCTGGCCTCTTTGCAGCCAGCCGGCCATCTATTCTGATCAGTGCATGCAACCGTCACGTACGGAGGGCGGAGCCTAGAGGTGACCATGAAGAGGGGGAGCAAGAGAGGAGACTCCATCGCTGCATGTCGGGTATCACGGCCACGAACCCTAGATAAGTGCAATAGATGATCGATCTCCTCCCTCTTTCTTTCCCCCCTCTCTCCCCCCTCCTCTCTCTCTCTCTCCCCCTCCCCCCTCTCTCTCTCTCCCCCCCCCCCCCTCCTCTCCACCCCCTTCCTCTCTCTCTCCCCCCCTCTCTCCCCCCCTCCTCTCTCTCCCCCCCCTCCCCCCTCCTCTCTCTCTCCCCCTCTCCTCTCTCTCTCTCTCTCCCCCCTCTCCCCCCCCCTCTCTACCCCCCCCCTCCTCTCTACCCCCCCCTCTCTCCCCCCCTTCTCCTCTCTCCCTCTCTCTCCCCCCCTCCTCTCTCTCTCCCCTCCTTATCTCTCCCCCCTCTCTCTCTCTTTACATTGCACACAGATCCGACCCAACAAGGTGTCCTGCATTTACTGTATATTTCGCTCCATAAGACACACTTGGGGGGAAATGTCTATGTGTCTTATGGAGTGGCCGGCCCAGTATTCACACCACCTTTGTATGTCTTCAGTCTCTGGTCATCTCCTGTACTATGTCCGCAGTCTCTGGTCATCTCCTGTACTGGGTCCACAGTCTCTGGTCATCTCCTGTACTGTGTCCGCAGTCTCTGGTCATCTCCTGTACTATGTCCGCAGTCTCTGGTCATCTCCTGTACTGTGTCCGCAGTCTCTGGTCATCTCCTGTACTATGTCCGCAGTCTCTGGTCATCTCCTGTACTATGTCCGCAGTCTCTGGTCATCTCCTGTACTGTGTCCGCAGTCTCTGGTCATTTCCTGTACTGTGTCCGCAGTCTCTGGTAATCTCCTGTACTGTGTCCGCAGTCTCTGGTCATTTCCTGTACTATGTCCGCAGTCTCTGGTCATCTCCTGTACTGTGTCCGCAGTCTCTGGTCATTTCCTGTACTGTGTCCGCAGTCTCTGGTCATTTCCTGTACTGTGTCCGCAGTCTCTGGTAATCTCCTGTACTGTGTCCGCAGTCTCTGTCATTTCCTGTACTATGTCCGCAGTCTCTGGTCATCTCCTGTACTGTGTCCGCAGTCGCTGGTCATCTCCTGTACTGTGTCCGCAGTCTGTGGTCATCTCCTGTACTGTGTCCGCAGTCGCTGGTCATCTCCTGTACTGTGTCCGCAGTCGCTGGTCATCTCCTGTACTGTGTCCGCAGTCTCTGGTCATCTCCTGTACTGTGTCCGCAGTCTCTGGTCATCTCCTGTACTGTGTCCGCAGTCTCTGGTCATCTCCTGCACTGTGTCCGCAGTCTCTGGTCATCTCCTGTACTGTGTCCGCAGTCTCTGGTCATCTCCTGTACTGTGTCCGCATTTGTTCATAGTTTTTTTTTAAACTATAGTCCGGCCCTCCAACGGTCTGAGGGACAGTGAACTGGCCCCCTGTTTAAAAATTTTGAGGACCCCTGCTGTAGCTACTGCAATCACCCCATGTTATTTTTGGTCACCCCACAACTGCCTGATATACTGGAGAGTGGAAAGCCCTAGATGATGTGAAATCTGTACTTCTGTTCAGCTTTGCTGTTGTGGAGCTCAAGAGTGCTGTTGCTACAGGGAATATACAGTACCTGGAGAATTGGTGATTGGGAAGCTGTAACAAAAGCCTTTCTACGCCTTCAGAAATGTGGGTCAGACTTTGTTGGTGAGTGCTAAATCTGATGGGTATTTGTGTGTAATTGAAAGTGTGGCTGTTATTGTAAATAATAGGCATCTTTATTCAGCAGCAACAACACACCGAAAACAGAAGACACAGTTAAAGCAAACAGCACAACAAGTTAATCAATTAGTGTGAAATCAAAGTATTGGCATCAGAACATTAACACGTGCAATGTAACAATTCACTTGTATAGGTACAGTATACAGCTTAGATAATTGTAATATAAGTTCTAAACTTGTCCGTTGGTGAGCTCATAAGTCTGCTTTAGGTCCAGAACCACTGCACAGTAACAAATGCCTTCCCAACGCAACAAAGTTACAACTAACTTATTGTTTCTAAGATACTACACACAGAAAGGAATAACAGGCGTGCGGTTCATTTACAGTGATTCACCTTGAAAGATCTCTTCTCAATCAAGTTACTTTATCCAACATATACTACTGTAAGGTCTCTTTCACATGGGCGTTCCATATATCCGTTTTTCATCTGCTCGTTTACGGATGAAAAACGGCCCCCCGTGTATTTCTATGGACTTGCGGATGTAAACGGATGAACATCTTTTTCACATCCGTTAATGTCCTCATCCATTAACATCTGTTTTTTTTGAACGGAAGAAACCCCTATTTTTCTTCTGCAAAAAGAAAAAAAGACTGAACAGACATATAACTGATGTCAATGGATGTAAACAGACCAAAAACGGATGTAGACGGATGAAAACAGATCTAAACAAATGAATAATGGATGTAAACGGATGAAAAACGGATGTAAACTCATTAGTTTTTTCTTTGAAAAAACGTGACTGAACTGAAGGAGAAAAAAAACGGAACTC